CCCTTTTTGATAAAGGATTTGGAGAGACTAAGGATACAAGGGTCATACCTAAATATAATGAAAGCAATATACAGCAAGCCGACAGCTAACATCAAATTAAATGGAATGAAATTTAAAGCCATTTCACTAAAATGAATAACAAGACAAGGCTGTCCAGTCTCTCCATACTTCTTCAGTATAGTGCTGGAAGTTCTAGCAATAGCAATAAGACAACATATGGAGATCAAGGGGATTCGAATTGGAAAGAAAGAAGTCAAACTTTCATTATTTGCATATGATATGATAGTGTACATAAGTGACCCCAAAAACTCTACCAAAGAACTCCCACAGCTGATAAACACCTTTAGTAATGTGGCTGGATACAAGATCAACTCCAAAAATTCAGTAGCTCTCCTATACACAAAGAACAAAGAAGCAGAGAGAGAAATCACAGAAATATCACCTTTCATGATAGCCACAAATAGCATAAAGTATCTTGGGGTAACTCTAACCAAGGAAGTGAAAGATCTATTTGACAAGAACTTTTAGTCTTTGAAGAAAGAAATTGAAGAGGATACCAAAAAAATAAAAGGATCTCCCATGCTCGTGGATTGATAGACTCAACATAGTAAAAATGGCAATTCTACCAAAAGCAATCTATATATTCAATGTAATCCCCATAAAAATCCCAAAAATTTCTTCAGAGACCTAGAGAGAAAAATAATAAACTTTATATGGAAAAACAAAAAATCCAGGATAGCCAAAACAATACTACACAATAAAAGTACTTCCAGAGGCATTACCATCCCAGACTTCAAACTCTGTTACAGAGCTACAGTAATGAAAACAGCCTGGTATTGGCATAAAAACAGAGATGTTGACCAATGAAATCGAATCGAAGACCTGGATATTAATCCACAAGCTGATGAATACCTGATTTTCGACTAATTTAAAATTATACAATAGAAGAAAGAAAGCATCTTTAACAAATAATGCTGGCATAACTGGATGTCAACCTGTAGAAGAATGAAAATAGATCCATATCTACCACCATGCACAAAACTGAAGTCCAAATGGTTTAAAGACCTGAATATAAATCTGACTACACTGAATCTGATAGAAGAGAAAGTGGGAAGTAGTCTGACACATGGGCACAGGAGACCACTTCCTATGTAGAACCCCAGTAGCACAGACAATAAGAGCAACAATGAATAAATGGGACCTCCTGAAACTAAGAAGCTTCTGTAAAGCAAAGGATACTGTAATTAAGAAAAAGGGCAGCCTACTGAATGAGAGATCTTCACCAACCCCACATCAGAAAAAGGTCTGATCTCCAAAATATATAAAGAACTCAAGAAACTAGACCGTAAAAGGCTAATCAACCCAATTAGAAAATGGGGTACTGAACTGAACAGAGAATTCTCAACAGAAGAAATTTAAATGGCCAAAAGACACTTAAGGTCATGTTCAACTTCCTTAGCAATCAGGGAAATGCAAATCAAAACAACTTTAAGATATCTTCTTACACATGCCAGAATGGCTAAAATCAAAAACACCAATGATAGCCTATGCTGGAGAGGATGTGGAGTAAGGGGAACACTCATCCATTGTTGGTGGGAATGCAAACTTGTGCAACCACTTTGGAAATCAGTGTGGTGGTTTCTCAGGAAACTGGGAGTCAACCTACCTCAGGATCCAGCAATTTCACTCTTGGGAATATACCCAAGAGATACCCAATCATACTACAAAAGCATTTGTTCAATTATGTTCATAGCAGCACCATTTGTAATAGTCAGAACCTGGAAACAGCCTAGATGCCCCTCAATGGAAGAATGGATAAAGAAGGTGTGGCAATATACACTTTAGAGTTCTATTCAGTGGTAAAAAAACAATGACATCTTGACTTTTGCATGCAAATGGATAGAAATAGAAGATACTTTACTGAGTGAGATAACACAGACCCAAAAATATGAATACGGTATGTACTCACTCATAAGCAGATTCTAGCCATAAACAAAGGACATTGAGCCTATAATTCGTGATCCTAGAGAAGCTAAATAAGAAGGTGAACCCAAAGAAAAACATATAGTTATCCTCCTGGATATTGGAAGTAGACAAGATCGCTGGACAAAAGTGGGGAGCACAAGGGTAGGGTGGGGTGGGGGAAAGGGGTGAGGGGAAGATAGAAGGGAAAAGGGGAGGGTTGGGGAGAGCTTGGGGGAACGGGATGGTTGAAGTGGAGGAAGAGTGGATATGGGAGCAGGGAAGAAGATATCTTAATTAAGGGAGCCATTTTAGGGTTGGCAAGAGACTTGGCTCTAGAGGGGTCCCCAGGTGTCCAAGGAGATGTCCCCAGCTAGGTCCTTGGGAAGCCAAAGAGAGGATGCCTGAACTGGCCTTTTCCCCATAGCCACACTGATGAATATCTTGCATATCATCATAGAACCTTCATCCAGCGATGGATGGAGATAGAGACAGAGACCTACATTGGAGCAATGGACTGAGCTCCCAAGGTCCAGATGAAGAACAGAAGGAGGGAGAACATGACAAAGGAAATCAGGACCACGAGGGGTGTACCCACCTACTGAGATGGTGCATTTGAACTAATGGGGGCTCACCAAGGCCAGTTGGACTGGGACTGATGGAGCATGTGATCAAACCAGACTCTCTGAATGTGGCTGACAATGAGGGCAGACTGAGAAGCCAATGATAATGGCACTGGGTTTTGATTCTACTGCATGTACTGACTTTTTGGAGCTTAGTCTGTTTGGATGCTCACTTTCCTAGATCTAGATGGAGGGGGAAGGGCCTTGGACTTCCCACAGGGCAAGGTACCCTGACTTCTCATAGGACTGGAGAGGGAGGGGGAGAAAGAAGAGGGAGAGTGAGAGGAAAATGGGAGGAGGAGGGGAGGTGGAAATTTTTAATAAATAAATAAATTTAAAAAAATTAGTACTTTTTCATTTTTTAAGGGTTAGGACCAGAATCAATGCAATCAGTTCTGACTTTTGGGTGAAAGTGCCCACAGGAGGACTTGAGTGCATAGTATCTTTCTCAAAATTATTATAGCAGTCCCTGCTAACTTCTGTCCTGGGACATCAGTCAGGTTGTTCCTAATGTTCTGGAAGCTGGATACTATGTCAATACAGTCATGAAGGCATGCCCGCACACTGTCAGGCAGCATTGAGAATGGGTTGAATATGGATGGTTGGGAAAAGGTTATTTTAGGTCAGTTTAGCAGTAAAGCCTGATAGTAAGTGAGATGAGCATTTGTTACCTATCTGTAAGGAGTTATAGGGACTCCTCAAGAGACTCTCCACTGCATGTGGGGCCATGATGACAAGCTTCTGTCCCAGATTTAATTTATCAGAGTCATTAGTAAGCAGGGCCATTGCCACCATGATCTTCAAGCAGCCCCAGTGGAAGAGATAACTGAGACAATCTGATTTCTCCATTTATTGAATATACTCATAAAGAAGAGGGAGGGAGTCTTCCCCAAAGGAAGTTAAGATAGGAGCCCAAGGTTTTCCAGGGAAGACAGTAGGGGTTGTCTCCAATTAACTTTACAGGTGGAACTGGAGTTTCTTTGGGGGTTATCTTCCAAGAGGAGCACCAAGCAGTCCACTCTATAAGGTCAGGGTTGTCTGGGCTGCCCAAACTATTGTGAGGATTGTAAGAGAAATAGAGGTTAAAGGTGCCCTTGGGAGGTCAGTTGACTCCAACAGTCAGTCACTGGAGGTGACAGACCATGTGGAGCTTTCTGTGGAAGAATGAATCTCCAGATACCTGGGCTTTCTTCTTGAAGTCTTAAAAATGCTATAAGACAAGGTCTAGGGGAGAATTTTGGGCCAAAGATGTAGTTTGCCCCATGATCTTGATGTAAGAGAGAAGACCAATAGTGAGTATACAAAGTGAAATCAAAAGTCTGACTTGACAGATGGAGTCCAGGGAGACAAGGGTTTTAGTAGAACATGGTTCTGTTCAGACTTAGCCGGAGCAGATGCCTTTTTGGCTGAATTCCAGAAACCAGATGTCCCAGACACTCCCAACTACTGGAGGACAAAGAAGAAGATGAGATGACTCTGTTCTCCTTCTGACTTCATCCAGTCTCTTCTCTCTTGGGTCCTAGTAAAAGATGCCACAGACCACAAAACCTCTATTGCTTACCTCTGAAGATTACTACATGGGTCTGGAACAGTCAGCTGAGCCAAAGACTTGAACCAGTAGACCATGAAATAATGGACAAGGCCCCAAATATTAGGGTCCATAAATCTGAAAATAATTCACCAGAAAGGCAGGGTTTGTGCAGTCCAAAAAATTATTTAAAAATCTGATATATCAGGGAGGTGTGCGGTTTCAGCATCCATACAATGTAACCAAGACAGCGGCAGCAGTCAGTTTTAATGGTGAAAAACCAGGAAGAGACAGTTCCTGAGTCCTACCAATCATAACATAATATTGGAAGAAAGAGTTTGGGACTTTCCTTACTAGCATGCTTTCAGTCTATCACGGAGTCCTCTGGTTTGTGTTTGTGATTGCTGTTGGAACCAATCAACTATAAAGGGATGGAATATTTGTAGTTTAGCCTTATTATAGACACCTTGCAAGGGAGTTTGGGATTGCAGGTCAGCTTCAGGAAATAGTGGATAAAGCTTAGAGCAGACTGACCAGGGACAAAACAGACTTCATGTTGCTAACTAGGACCTAACAATACTACTGCCTTTTCTCATTACCTCAGGTTTATTTGGTCTTTATGAAAGCTACAACAGACTCACTATTTATCTCACAGAACCATTACCTCCAAAGTTAGAGCCCTCAGTCTAGAATGATCATCCTTTTTGTTCAACATAGGCCTCCAATAATATAATTTCTAAGTGGGGTTCAACCTGAACCATGTGTCTATTTTTGTGCCTGAGAATCTTAGCAACAAGAAGTGTGGCAAGAGGAAAGGGATATAGGTAGATAGGCACAAAAGTTTTCAGTCATTCCTGCTGCTAACATCATGTTTTCTAAATTTGTAGGCTGAAAAAATTCTGCAGATATATTTGCAGTCAAAGGAAGAAGTGAGTAATGTCATTCTACAGACAGACCAGACACTGACAAAAATGGAAAAGGAGATTGAAGGTAAGGCACAAGATAAAGGACTACACGCCTCAAAAGCTCTGGAATGTTTAGATTAGTAATAAAACTAGGATCTTGAAGCAGACCTAAAATAACAGAGCTATGTCTCACTATCTAGTATCAGACATGATCGTACTATAATGTCAGCAGCAACAATGAAAGCAGGTGAGAAAGAGAGCATTGCATGCTGCATTTACATCTTCCTTCTTGATTTCCTTCCCAGTGGAACATGTGAGAGCTGAAGCCACCAAGGCTGCAGTAAAAATGCAGGAGGAAATGCAACAAAAGTATGAACAGTTACTGCAAGAGAAAGAGAGGAGTCATGAGAAGGAGTTGAAAGAGTTGACTGTGAAGATGAAGAAGGAACAGGCTGAGACTAGAAAATTACAACAGAATTATGAACAGTTGCTGCAACAGAAAAAGAAGAGTCACCAGGAGCACATGAAACAGCTGACTGAGATGTTGGAGAAGGAACAGGCTGAGATGAAAGAAATGCAACAGAAGTCTGCACAGTTGTTGGAAGTAAAAGAGAAGAGTGAAGAGAAGGAGATGAAAGATCTGACTGAGAAGATGGAGAAGGTACAAGCAGAGATGAAAGAAATGCAACAGAGGTATAAACAGTTGCTGCAAGAAAAAGAGAAGAGTCATGAGAAGGATTTGAAAGAGCTGACTGAGAAAATGATGAAGGAACAGGCCGAGATGAGAGAAATGCAACAGAAGAAAGACCATTTGCTGCAAGAGAAAGAGAAGAGTCACGAGGAGCTCATGAAACAGCTGACTGAGAAGATGGAGAAGGAACAGGCCCAGATGAGAGAAATGCAACAGAAGTATGAAGAGTTGCTGCAAGAGAAAGAGACGAGTCATGAGAAGGAGATGAAAGAGCTGTTTGAGAAGATGGAGAAGGAACACGCTGATACTAGAGAAATGCAACAGAAGTATGAGCAGTTGCTGCAAGAGAAAGAGAAGAGTCATGAGAAGGAGATGAAGGATCTGACTGAGAAGATGGAGAAGGAACAGGCCAAGATTAGAGAAATGCAAGAGAAGTATGAACAGTTGCTGCAACAGAAAGAAAAGAGTCACCAGGAGCACACAAAACAGCTGACTGAGATGTTGGAGATGGAACAGGCCAAGATTAGTGAAATGCAAGAGAAGTATGAACAGTTGCTGGAACAGAAAAAGAAGAGTATTGAGGAGTTCTTGAAATATGTTATTGAGATGCTGGAAAAGCATAAGGTATAGAAGTTAGAGTAGGAAACAAAAGAGATACTTAAATTGCATTACTTCCAATATTCTTTTCATTTAAAAATGCATTAAAGTGTCTCTGTGTGTTTGTGTGTGTGTTTGTCTGTGCATGTAATATATGTAAAGGGCAAAAGAGGAAGTCATATCCCCTAACCTAGTGTTATAGGTGTTTGTGGGTCACCTATCATGGATGCTTGGAACGGAATTCCAGTCTGTAACATACTCTTTACTGCTGAGCTATCTATCCAGACTACTGTTTTCTTTTTTTCTGTTCATCAAAAAATTTATTGAAGCCTAAAGGCTGACCAAGCCTGATCTCATGGGCTGTTCATTCCTAGATATCTGGTTGTCTGTTGCCCATGTCTGGTGATGAAGTGATCGTTAAGTAATGGCATAACACTAAGTCATTTAGGAATATATATGTTGTATTATGGCAACTATGCCCTTTGTGCTTTATCTTTATTTCTTTCTTAATACTTCTATGAACCAAGAACTATATCCTATTATGTAGAAGAAAGAAGGACAGGTTCACTTAAGATTAAAAAATATACAATATTAGTACTTTTGTTAGTAGAGGCAGGAGGATCAAAATGTCAAAATCATCCTCAGCTAAACAGAGAATTCAAAATCCACCAGGGCAATAGCCCCTGCCTCAAAAATCACTATATATAAAATACATACAACAGATTAGGCTGTCTTTCCCATAGTGGGATCTGCAAAGGTAGGTTTTCCATCTCACCTGGTATGAGTTTATCCCTAAGAGAGACTTCATGAGGAAAGAAACTCCTCCATGCTCACAACTACATGAGTGTCTGTCTGTCCTTCCTTTATCCTATACTTTGTTCTCAATTTATGTTCAGTTGTGAGTTAGAGATAGAATTCATTTTCTTCAGAATGGGACACTAATTTTCTTACCAATCATCTGTCACACTTCTACCAATTTTTGGAAGTTTTCACAAATTTTCTCCTTCCCACCCCTCCTCTCTCTTTTTCTTTCTCTGAGTGCACACATTTGTGTGCATGTTAGTGCGTCTTCATCTGCGCACATGTATGTGAAGGTGAGAGAACTACCTCCAATGTCCTTCATCACCTTAGACTGTATTTTTTTTAAATTCTAATTAATTATTTTTTTAATATATATATATATATTTATTTATTTATTTATTGTATACGATATTCTGTTTGTATGCCTGAAGGCCAGAAGAGGGGTTGAGCCACCATGTGGTTGCTGGGAATTGAACTCAGGACCTTTGGAAAAGCAGGCAATGCTCTTAACCACTGAGCCATCTCTCCAGCCCCCTAGACTGTATTTTTTGAAATGATCTCTTACTGAACCTCAAGCTCACTGGTGGGGCTAGTCTTGCTGGTCACTGACTGCTAAGTTTCAAGGATTTGCCTACATCTGCATTCCATGCCTGGTATTACAGAACAGTACTGTATATAGCTCTTACATGGATACCTGGGGTTCTATCAGGCATATTCCTGACTCAGACATGACCCCACCCCAGACTCAATTTCTTACACTAAGATTCAGAGCCTTAGTTAGATATTCAGAATTCATTCCTGTGCTACATGCTTATACAAGGTTAGAGTAGGGAGGTGTATTAAAGTCTATAATGATAAAATTTCAAGACAAGTGATTAAGATTACAGAGGTTATAAAAAACTGATGAATAAATCAATACTGATAATGAAAGTTCATCAGTGAAACTGTTTCTTAGCTAAAGGAACCCCCAAGAAATGTGACCACAGCTGTGCAAGAAAAGGCATATTTTGAGGAGGAGGCTAAAAAATTCCCAAAAGCAAAAGCAAACCTCTAAACATTAAATTTTACTCATGAATAAAAACATGTTTAAATTATAATAAAAATTAGGTCATAAAAATTTTTTAAGAAATTAATAATAAAAAATATTAAAATTGCATAAAACCTAAGAATCAAGTCAGTGTAATGATTCATTGTCGTTACTTTTCAGAAATATACAGAACTATGGGAGATATATAAAAGATTGCAAAATGAAAGGCAAAACATATGCACATGTGTCATAAGCTGAAGGCCTAAAGAGTGATATCATTCTGCCATTCAAAGCAGAGCTGAATTGGGAATGGGAGTCACTTCAGTTGAAATAATAAACTACAAATGTGCAAAGATGTTCAGTGTGATGATTGAAATCAGGTTTGTCTTCAAATATGATTGTGCACCAAGGATGCCAGTGCTGTCTTCACATCAAGAGACTCAACAACAACATTGCTCAAAAGAAAATACCTTACCCAGATAATCTCAAGGATACAGATTGACACTTATCACATTTTTAAATATTGGCACATAATTAGGAATAATGATTTCCACAGATATGATGAATCTGAAGGGCAGGAATAGTCAGTCTCATTTCCAACAATGTAGAGTTCTCCATTCTATAAAAACTGTTCAAACATTCAGCAAGTGCATGATTTGTGGACACTGGTAATGTATAACTTTATGAACACATTTATAAATCAAGACAGATGCATGGAGATCAGAGTCCCCATATATAATATCCACAGGAAGATGAAAGAAGGCATTGGCAGGACAAGGCGCTGAATCCCAGGTCTATGGCCTGAAGAAGGGAATATTTAAGTTCACGCATATTGAAAGTGTAATGGGACATTTCCAAACTTGAACAGATGACACTGGCTACATAATAACATGATGACAATTTAGAATTATGTAGATCAGTACCTTTAAAGATGGAATTTTATGATGGCCAGTGCTCTATAGACATCAAAAGTTTTTTTTAATGATTTATCTGTAACCATAAACTTACATTATTCCTTTCCTATTATTACCTGCTATTTTTGAAATTTTGGTGACTTTTCCCCAAGCATAATAAAGATTATTTTTCCATATTTTTTGACCAGCTCTTAGTACTATGGACTATATATAAACTTTATCCCAACTACCAGAACCACAAAGTAAATGTTTAACAGCTTTTAAAGGGATTGAGAACTTTTGATGGGTTTGGTTCAATGGGCAAAATACTTGCTGTACCAACATATGCATGTAAATTCAGATCACAGTACCCACAAAGCAAACTTGACATTGTAGTACACACCTGTAAGCCTAGCACTGAAGTTGGGGAAGGGTAGATAGGAAGATCCTTGGGGTCTACTAGCCAGTCAGCCTAGTCAACAGACGGGCCATGGGTTGACTGAGTGACCCTGTTTCAAAAGTAATACAGAGAACAATTGAGAACACAGTCATGTTGTTTACTGGAAGTAGATGTGACCAGAAATAATTATATTATACATATTAAAAGTCTCAGAAAACAAATGCATGTTTTCTTTGATATACACATCCTGCCTTTTTATAGAGGCCTAAATTTATGTATGTATAATGATACAGAAGATAAACTGAAACTATCCAGAGAAACAATGGGGACTATGCAAGGAAGAGGATGAGGAGAAGGGGAGGAATACTGGGGCATGCTAAACAACAAGATATGATTATATGAAAACATTCTCCTATGATACAACACTATGTGTAATGAATATATGCAATGAATATTATAAAAACCATTTGTGATCAACAAAGGAAAAATTTAAAATATGCATTCTAACAACTCCATCTAAATAACTTAACAAGAACCCATTACCATTGTTCTTGAGTTCTCAGTAGTCCTCATTGTCCTCTATGTTCAGCGAGTCCGGTTTTATCCCAGGCTTTTTCAGACCCAGGCCAGCTGGCCTTGGTGAGTTCCCAATAGGACATCCCCATTGTCTCAGTGTGTGGGTGCACCCCTCGCGGTCCTAAGTTCCTTGCTTGTGCTCTCTCTCCTTCTACTTCCCACAGGGCAGGGAACCCTGATTGCTCTTTGGGCTGACGAGGGAGGGGGACTTGATTGGGGAAGGGGAAGGGAAATGGGAGGCGGTGGCAGGGAAGAGACAGAAATCTTTAATAAATAAATAAATAAATAAATAAATAAATAAATAAATAAAACGATAAAATAAAAATAAATAATTTAACAATTCAAATAAATTAACTAATTTCTCAAAAAAACATATAAAGCACTCAACTCGCTACATTTTTTTTACTCCTTGGTTGCTGCAACACAATACCTGTAAAAAGCAATTGAAGGAAGGAAGGATTTATTTTGGCTTACGCTCTGACATGACTGTCTATCACAGCAGATAAATCATGGTGGCAGGAGTATGAGGAAGCTGGTAATTTTGTATCCACAGAGAGGAGATAGAGAGATGTACCCTGGTGGTGCAATCAATTTCTCCTTTTTATTTAGCTATAAACTCCAGCTCATGAAACATATGTCCACAGTTAGGATAGTCCTCACACTTTTATTAACCCAATTTAGAAACTCACAGACATGCCTGCATGTGTGTCTCCTCGGTGATTCCAGATCTTGTCATGGTAATAATCAATATGACCAACTGTCACACTCTTTTAGGATAAACAAGATCACCTGAATTATATCTGCTCAAGAAATTTGATTTATAGTTTAAAAATATCAAAAAGCTACTTTTCTGCATCCAGACGACTTTCTTTTACTGCACATGTAAAGAAGAAATAATAGGAATTCTACAGAGATTCTTTCAGAAAATACAAGAGGAAGCATTTCCTAATTTAGTCCAGGTGAAAAACATTGTCTTCTTGCCAAAGTCAGTTATAAAACATTACAAATCAGAAAAATAACAGATTAACATGCTTCATGAACTTAGACACATAGCTCCATGAGAAAATATTAGCCAACAAAATCCAGGAATGTAATGAAATAATTTACTTACATTCAGCTGGGTTTATCCTAAGGAAAAATGGCTGGAGCAAGAACATATGATTTACTACACTGAAAGCTAAAGAAAACAAAATGAAATGCTGGATTCCTCAAACAGCTACATAGTAATTCTGACACAGCACCCATGAGCAATGAAACAGTCCCCAGGGCAGTGCAAGTCTCCTGTCTTATTTCATTTAACTGGGGATTTGGGGTTTGGATATGGTTGCAAGTTGTTGCTGTGGTTTTGTTTTGATATAGGGTCTTTTTACACTGCCAAGACTACAAATAAACTTACATCAGTTCTTCATTCTTCACTTCCCAGGTATTGGGACTGTAGGTATGCACCATCACAACATGCCAGATGTCAACTTCTTTAATGCAATAAAGGGTAGCTACAAAATGCCTTCATCAGCATCATACTTACTGTGACAGTAAATGTTTGCCTCTCTGACCTAGGAAAAATCCTAGGGCTTCCATTCTCACCACTCACATTTAACCTGACACGTGGATCAGAAAGGATAAAATAACGCAGTTTTTGTTTGCAGACAATATGAATGTGAAAATCCCAGGGAATCCAGAAATGTATTCTGACAACCAGTCAGTGAGTTCCCAAATTTATGAATCCATATTCCCTGAGTTTGCCAAATCTGCGAATCCAGTTTCAATGAGGAAGTCTGTTTCAAAAAATAAGGTGGCCAACAATCAAGAAATAGATGCCAAATGTTGACCTCTGATCTCCTTATACAAACACACACATGCTTACAGGAAATATGTATATCACACTTTTTATACAGACACACACACACATACACACACACAAAACCTTCACTATGTCAGGTAACAAATAAAATCTGAACTTCATTTATTTTGATATGCAAATAATGAACAACCAGAAATCAAAATTTACAAAACAATAACTAGAGAAAAGGGCAAAATATTTATCTGTAAATTTAACTAGATATATAGGATCTCTATGTTCAAATTTAATCTAACAACAGAGATTTGCAGAAAACTCATGATCCTTAAATCTCAGAATAAACTTGAAGGGATGCCACAAACCAAAATGTGGCAAACCTGGCACTGGCAGGCCTTGAACTTCTCCCACATTTCCTTTGCTTAGCTAAAAGCCTTAAGATTATATCCCTAAAGCTAGCCCCCAAAGTCTATTCCCTTATTTGACCACTTCCTCCTCTTGTGGCTTACTGCCAAGGTCTATCTCTCAAAATATTGAAAACCAGCAATCAAAAGCCCCTCCTGACTCATCCTATTTACCTTCCCAATCTAAATTAAACACCTCATCCTAAATGGGGTTTCCCTTTACTTTCATAAAATCCATTTGCCCATGAGCCCTGTCTGTCTCCTCTTTATCCAGAGGCCATATTTTTTCATCATCATTCTCCCCCAATAAATGTCCCTGCCCCCTCTCCATTGCCACTCTTCTCCCTCTCTTTGTTTCCTTCCCCTTCTCCCTAGTCTTCTATCTCTGGTCTTTGTCTCTTATTCCCTGACCTTTGTCTCTTCAGAGCAAATAAATCTTTGTGCTGAGAATGTGGATTTGGGTTATCCTACAATACTAACACATAATTCTTACTGAGCACTCAGTCTCTGTGAAGGTCATTCAGGTCCTTTTTCTATAGTTAGCAATTTCTAAAGCAGTGGTACAGCAGTAACAAAGGTGTTTTCCCCACATTGGGCAAGGTCCCAGTGGACACTAAAACATGTATAGTGGCATATATCAGCCATTTATCCTAATAGAAAGGAAAGAAATGTGACCGCAAATACTTAGGGTCAAACACTCACTTACCATTCACATACATTCCCCAGGGCTTCACTCATCATAGAGGAAAGCACAGAAGAGAGGAGAGCCTAAAGAAATGACAAACACTCTCACATTTTATTACAGAGATCATCTAAGTTTAGGTCAGAAACAGTCTCTCATAGACAACCAGATATGTCTAAGCTAGAGGGGTTATTTATTATGAACTCTTGGCCAGCCTGTCACCAGTGGCACATACCTTTAATCCCAGCACTCGGGAGGCAGAGGCAGGCGGATCTCTGTGAGTTTGAGGCCAGCCTGGTCTACAAGAGCTAGTTCCAGGACAGGCTCCAAAGCTACAGAGAAACCCCATCTCAAATAAAAACAAAATAAACAAAAACAAAACAAAACAAAAGAGACCTTTTGGCTAAACTCCAATGATATTTGGGAAGTTGGTACTGAATGGATGCTTTAGTAGTTAAGAGCACTGGCTGTTCTTCCAGAAGTCCTACATTTGATTCCCAGCATCTATGTAGTGGTTTACAATTATCCCTAAGTGTAGTTCCAGGGAATCTGATGTCTTCTTCTGATAGCCCATGGGCACCTGACATGTATATGGTGCACATACACACATACATCCATGCAAGCAGAAAAACCACTTTACACATAAAATTAATTAATTTTAAAAGAATTGAGAAGTAGCTAACAGTTTAACCATGAAAAAAGACAATAAAGAAGTATTCACAGAAAATCAGAGGCTCTTTTTTCTCTTCTTTGATTTTGGAAGGAGCTCTTTAGTCACCAACACAAGATGTTATCATATGTCATATGTACTTTGTAAGTTTTAACCACATTTCATCACCAGAAAAGCAGTGAAGAAAAAGAAACAAAAAGAGAGGAGTGCAAAAGAGGGAACAGGAGATAGGAAGTATGAAAACTTACCAACTCCAAACATATTTTTAATGATATGTCTCTCTACTCAACAACATTACCTCAATCAAAGTCCAACTAGATACATTAAATTCAGGTATCAAACTGCATCATCTGGTGGCTATCACTTTCATCACTAACTGTGAATGTTCAATTGGTGGTGCATATTCCCTAATACAGAAGATCAATCCTGTCAATTTTGTTGTTGTTCACCATAGCACCATTGGAGCCTAAACAGGTGGTGTGGGAGGTCCTTCTGTCTATGTGTTGTCTTTATTGGTTATTGAAGAAATTGAAGAACCTATAGCAGGACGTAGCCAGCGGCGGCGCAGGTGCCCGCAGTGGTGTAGGCCAGGCCGGGACCAGAGGGGACTAGCATGGTGGCAGAGGACGCAGGCGGCAGGGACCAGTGCGCAACACTGAGAGCAGATTGCCCCACTACAATTAAATCAAAGAGGTAATGGAAACAGTTCAAGAATTGAAAACTGAAATAGAAGCAAGGAAGAAAACACAAATTGAGGAACAGCTGGATATGGAAAATCTAGGCAATGAGCAGAGGCTACAGAAACAAGCATAATCAATAGACTACAAGAGATAGAAGAAAGAATCTCAGATTCTGAGGACACCATAGAGAAAATAAATGCACTGATCAAAGAAAACAGCAAAGCCAACAAATTCTCATCACAAAACATTCAAGAAATATGGGACACAATAAAAAGACCAAACCTAAGAAT